CAACAAATATACCTTTCTTAGGCTGGGGGCATGGCTCAGTTGGTAGAATGCTTGCCTAACATGCACAAAGCCTTGAGTTCAAATCCCCAGCACCACATAAATTAAGTGTGGTTTTGGATACCTGAAATCCCAGTGGTTGGGAATTAGAGGCAGGAAAATCAGAAGTTCAAGGTCTATCCTTGGCTACTTAGCAAGTTCAAGGTCAGCCTGGAACACATGAAGGACAGGGAGCAGGACAGATGCGTGGAGAGCATGTTGCAAGGAGTCTAGATGTTTGCCGGAAGCTTCTCAGAGAAGTGCAACTATTTTCATTGTATAGAAGTCATTATCTCAAGTGCCACTAGGAAAGGAAGCCTTGCTGGTGAAATGGGGACACGGCCCCTTCTACTTAGGGTGTGTATGCTTCTTATTTGACACACTGCCAGACTGAGGTTTTTAAAAACCCTTGTGCACGCAATTAAAAGGAGCATGGAAGCACAGTGAACAGACCAAGGTCTAACTCACCCCATGGCTCCTGTCAGAGTCTGCTGACCCGCTCAGCTCAGCCACCCACTCACGCCGTGCTATTCCCTCCTCTGGCGCTTGCAAAGGAATTTCCACCGCTGCTGCCAGTGCCTATTATGCCCGTGCTATTGATGCCTCTTCCTTGATGGTTCCAGAAAAGACCAGTGGGAATTTCAGATAACCAGGCCCCTTATGTATTCTCTTAGCTGAACATTCAGAACCCTCCATCATCCAGTCCTGACATGGGATATAGCCAAGTACACATATGTTTAGGTGTAGATGGTGATAGCAGAAGCAGTTATGGAAACCACCGAGACTTCAGTGGAAGACTGTGTTTATGAGCTGATGAAAACCAATTAGAGTGGATGGAAGTTGTCGTTATTGCAGTGAGGCTCTGGGCAACGGCTCTGCGACTCTCCTATCACCAGTCCTGGGGTCTGATCCACCCGTGAAGGCAGAGAGAAAGGGGCAGGGCAGGACTTTCTCCTGCATATCAGGAAGAGGAAATATCTCCCCAACTGCAAACCCCTCCTCAGATTTCTCCTCACAACCTATTGGACAAGACTGTAGTGTAATGCCGGCCATAACTGCAAGGGAGGCAAGAAGATTAAAGTTTCTTTTTTTTGTAATCGTTTCAAGGATGAGGGCTGGGAAATGGCTCAGTCAGTAAAGCACTTCCGTGTAACCCTGAACATCTGAGTCCCCAGAACCCAGTCCAAATGTCACGCCTGCTGTCACATGCTTGCGATCGTGCTGGGGAGGTACAGACAAAAGGATCCCCAGGGTAGCCTCGCCCAATTTGGTGAACTCCCGGTCAAGGAGAGATCCTGACTCAAAGGAAGTAGACAGTGTTCCAGAGGATGTCCTCTGACTGCCACATACACAAATACACACATAGCCCCAAAGCACCTGCATGCAATACATACACATACATATTCAAAAGAAAAAGAATAATCACGTATGGTGGTGCATCCCAGCACTTAGCAAGCAGACACAAATAGACCTTGGTGAGTTCAAGGCCAGACTGGTTTACATAGTAAGTTCCAGAAAAGGAAAAGAATGAGTTGTGGGAAGATATTTGCATGGCTGGCTCTCACTGACTCCTACTGTGGCCATAGACATTTGAAATGCATTGATTAAACAGCCCCAAACACTGTAGGGCAGTCAGGTGGGGTGGTACATGCCTTGAACTCCAGCTCTCAGGAGGCAGAGGTAGGTGGAACTCTACAAGTTCAAGACCAACCTGGTCTACATAGCAAGTTCCAAGATGGCCGGGGCTGTGGAAACACTCTGTCTCAAAAAAAATCAAAAATGAAAGCTTCTCAGAGCTTTTTACTATCACAATGTCCATTGAGTTAGGGACAATATGATATTATACTTTTTTGAGATAGGGTCCAAATATGTAGCTCTGGGTGTCCTGAAACTCAGTGTAGACCAGGCTGGCCTCCCACTCATAGAGACCCACCTGCCTCTGCTTCCCAAGTGCTGGGATTAAAGGTGGGTGCCACTATGCCCTGCTTATATTATGCTTTTTCAAACATAGAGAATCCAAAAATCATTTTCCCTAAGTAGGCAGTGTGGTAGACAGAAGCTCTTCCAGAAGATGACAGCTCCAAACAAAAGATGGGGATTCCTCCACACACAGCTGAAGTAGGCCTCATGGGCAGTAAATAAGAAAGAGGCTGAGTAGAGACTGGGTCGAGCTAAAAGGTTTTCAAGTGAGACGTATGTTGCTTTGAGACTTCTCCAGCTGCTCTGATTTGTGGGCGGGCGGGGGGGGGGGGATACTCTTGTTTCCATGCTCCTGTGGTTCCTTTCGGCACAGAGGTAGCTTGGTCCTCAGCCATCCTCATCTTCCCTTTCCTAACCCTTGCCACTTGCGGTCTTCCTGATGCTGGTGATACTGGAGCTATGCTGGCTTGGCTTCTCTGAGTAAAAAGCAGTTGTGAGCCTCTTGATGTGGGTGCTGGGACCTGAACTCAGCTCCTGTGGAAGAGCAACAAGCTCTCTTAACCACCGAGCCGTGTCTCCAGGCCCTTGGTTGGCCCTCTTACACACTTAACTCTGGCTTGTTCCACACAGTGGGTATCTTAAGGACACAATACCTTATGTTTTACAGACCAATGGCTCTAACTGGATATATTTGGTTACTTAAACCGTTTTCTGTTTGTGGTTTGCATTTGTGTTGGTGGCTTCGCACTGGCCCAGGTTGGCCTGGGACTGTGCTGCCAAGACCAGCCTCAAACTTGTGATAATTGTCCTGCCTCGGCTCCCCAATGCTGGGATTGCAGGTGTGAGCCGCCATTCCCTGTGGGGCATTGTTGTTAGTTTCCTTGAGACATGGTTTTTATATCTTTGGTAGGTGGAGAATTCACCTATTTCATTTCCCGGTGCATCATTAAACCCTGTTTAATGCCCTTTGCTTGCCGCTCTCCCGAGTTTGTAGTAGTTGCTTGTGGTTTTGTCCTCTTTACTATGGTAAGTTTTTTATTTCTTGAGGCTATAGTATAATTTATATCATTCTCTTCCTTTCCTTTCAACCTCTCCCATGTACCCCATCTACTCTTTTAAATTAATGCCCTTTTTCTTTAATTACTATTACATATGCCCGTGTGCGTACACATCCCTAAGCACGTAAACACAGCCTCTGTTATTATTTTGTGCCCTTGCTTTTGTTCCTGGTCGAATTTAGACCTTCCGTTTAGCCAGTGGCTGTGCTTTGTCCTCCATGTAGATCATTTCTTCATTGTTGAATGAGATGGGCAAGCTTGCTCAAGCCCTCTCCCCAGCCCCTGATGGGTGCTTTGCTCATCTTCCTGCTGTCGCCGCCCCGTCCCCTCTGCCCTGATTCCCTGTGCTGCTGTGTCTACCCTACCTTGCTATCCTCAGGTCCTCTGGGCCGCTGGGCACCGCTCTTCACCATGAAAATAAGGGACCATTCCCACCCTGCTGTCTCACATCACAGTCTCCGGCCCCCACTGCCCCCCCCCAGGACATGAGGGAGGCTGCAGGGCCACCAGCATTCCGAGCACACCCAAGCTCATGGCCTGGCAGTGGCTTGCTCCAAGCCCCAACACTACCTCGGTAACCCAGTCTCCTCTCAGCCTCCCATCCTGCCCCTCCTGCCCCACTCAGTTCATCGGCATGGGAGCATCTACTGGCACATGGGCAACCGACCAGGGGCCTCGTTCCTGTAGAAACTGGCTGGAGAGATGGCTCAGTGCTTAAGAGTGTTTGCTCTTCTGGAGGACCCAAGTTTGGTTCCCAGTGTCATGCCCAGCAGCTTACAACTGCCTGTAACTCCAGCTCTGGGGCATCTCTCTCTCTCTCTCTCTCTCTCTCTCTCTCTCTCTCTCTCTCTCTCTCTCTCTCACACACACACACACACACACACACACACACACACACACACACACAAATACATAACTTTAAATTGACCGTCTCCTGCCCCGAGGCACACCCGACCCCGTCTTTGCCCTTTCTCTTTACACAGACCTGTCACTCAGGACCAGGTGGGCGAGGAAGGTTTGCTCTTTCATCCACACAGCACATTTACCTTGCTCTCCTAAACAAAAGAGCACATTCACACCGGGATTCACGAGATTCACGCCACAGCTCTCTCCGTGTAGGAAGTAGTTATTTCAACAGCAGATTTTTTTTTAAATATCATTTCTTCCTTCCTGATTTATTACCTTTTCAGTATTTTATGAAACTCAAATGCACCAATAGGAGGAAAAGTGTCTTGTAAACCATCTCAGCTTCATAGATTAAAAAAAAAAAAAAAGCCTGCTGTCATACATTGAAACAACACCGGCTGCATTTTATAGCCTTTGGGAAGATGGAGGACTGAGCATATGGAATATTAGGTTTTGAGTTTGTAACCAGATTCTGGGAACTGAGGATAATGGGGCCATATATAGGCTTTTATTGGTGGGAAGCCAGCAGCCTCCAGCCATCTCTACAGAGTAGGGACTGCAGTGGCTGGGGATGTCGCTGAGATGGTAGACTGCCTGCCCGGCAAGCATAAAACCCTGAATTTAAGCCCATGGGTACATAAACCAGGTGTGATGCCCCATGCCTGTAATCACTGGGCAGTGAAGGCAAGAGAATCAGGATTCATACTAACAGCTACATGCCTACATTGCTGAGCAGCAAGTTCAAGGCCAAACGCAGACACATGAGACCCTATCTGAAACAAAGCAAGGTGTGTGTGTAGGGGTCTGTAGAGGATAGTAATCCTAGCTGCAGATTTCCATGGGGTGTCTGAGAGAAGGAAGGGAACAGGAGTGATGGCTGAACCCCAGAGGGGGCCGAGAACACACCTGGCATATTGGCCAGTGTATCTGGGAACCTCACTCAGCAAAGGCAACCCTGCTTCTGCCTTGTCTACTCACAGAGCAAAAGTCTCTCGGCCTTTATCATGTCATGTCTGTTCCCATTATTGCCCATAAGCCTATGCCAGGCCTCTGACAAGTGCTTTCCTGTGTTGTGTCCAGGGACAGGGTGCCTTGTCGGAGAGACTACGGAGCTTCAGCATGCAAGACCTCACTACCATCAGGGGTGATGGCACCCCTGCTCCCTCAGGCCCGCCTCCACCAGGGACTGGGCGGTCCAGCAGCAAGCATGGCCAGCCCAAGATGTCCAGGAGTGCTTCTGAGAGTGCTGGCAGCTCAGGTAGGTCTCTTCCCTTCCCTCTGTCACTCTAGAGCCCCATTGTCACAGAGAGGAGCAATACTGGATCACACACACACACACACACACACACACACAGTGTCTCTTGCCTGTCACCAACAGAGATATTTGTTAGATTAAACCAGGCCAGGTGAGGAGCGCGGCCACTCAGGAAGCTGGCCTGGGGACTGTGCCTCGGGCAGGGTAGGGTACTAGCATCGGAAGGTTACTCTGCCTTCATCGTTGTCTGTGGAGTTGGAGTGTTGGGTGCTAATACCTGGGCCACTTTTGGAGCAGAAGGTGTAGTCTGGGCCTTGGGAGTACTTTCTATTCTTTCTGACCCCGCACTCAGGTCTCATGGCCCCTGAGCATCTTTTCCCACTCCTCAGGGCTACTGACACCCGTAGGCATTTTCTCCCTCTCCCTGTCTCTACTTCATCTCTGACTGTCTACTCACTACCAAGGACCACACTAGGTCCAGTTCCTGGGGAGGCCAAGTCCTTCCAGGATCTGAAAATCTAGCCCTCTGTTTAACTCTCGTGGATAAGCACTGGCCATGAGACTGCCCGTGTGAGCCTTGGCCACGAACTGTATTTAATGTGTGGGATCTTGGGCCTGTCTCCAGAGATCTCAGTAGGTGTAGGTGAGACCCAGCTGTGTAGATTGAGATGGGAATCCAGTATCTAATCTATCCGCGCGGACTTGGAGCTTCTGGGGGTCAGTGAATGAACTGGGAGCTATCAGGGACTTGGGGAGCAGAGCAGAGTTGCTGACCGAAAATGGTGGACAGCAGGAAGGTACAGAGGACGATGCTGGCTCACACCTTCCCCTGATGGCAGAGTGTGGGGGCGGTGCCAGGTCACCAACTTCCCCCGATGGTGGTGAGTGTGTGGGGGTTGCTGGGCCACCTATCCCCCTCCTTGTTACAGAATAATCAGGACTTGGACTGTTTGGGAATATGATGTTATGTATGTCTGTCCTGCCCTTAAACATGCAAATCAGGACCTCCAGAGCACCTGGGCCCTTACCGTGTGCTATAAGAGGGCAGCATAGAAGGCACCTGGGCTCCAAGCCCCAGGTCCCAGAGCCTGAGGACTAGCTCATGGTGTAGACATGAAAACACATTCATGCCCAGAGCCTGAGGATGGTGTAGACATGATAACACATTCATGCCCAGAGCCTGAGGACTAGCTCATGGTGTAGACATGATTGATAACACATTCATGCCCAGAGCCTGAGGACTAGCTCATGGTGTAGACATGATTGATAACACATTCATGCCCAGAGCCTGAGGACTAGCTCATGGTGTAGACATGATTGATAACACATTCATGCCCAGAGCCTGAGGACTAGCTCATGGTGTAGACATGATAACACATTCATGCCCAGAGCCTGAGGACTAGCTCATGGTGTAGACATGATAACACATTCATGCCCAGACACTAAATACCTTACTCAAGACCGTGCCTGGTAACAGTAGTTAGTAAGTAGCTATTGTTATAACTCTTACTATTTATTTCATTCAAGAACGTTCTTTACAATCCTGAAAGTGTTCAGGAGACAATGGCTTCTCTCTGAGGCAGGGTGAGCCCTGAAATCGGAATGGCCCACACCAAAGCTGGAAGGTCAGGTAGGGTGCCCTGCTTTAGCTGGGAAGACCACATGGAAATACATAAAAATGGGTTAATACTTAAGACAGAGCTAGCCTATAAGAAACAAGTAACTGGCCAACAACATAATATCAAATACAGAGTCTCTGTGTATTATTTGGGGCTGGCGTGGCGGCAGGACAAGACTAGGCGGCAGGAGGAAAAAACCGTACTTCTTACATGGGGGGGGCACCCTGGCTAGGTGACCCTGAGCCCGTAGGATGCAGAAAGCGCCACACGGGAAGCTGGCACCACAAGGCCACACTTGTCCCTGTTCATTCCCGTGACCCCACTTCCCCTCAGCTCCGGCTGCTGCCAGCCTTAGAGCTTTACTCAGACGGACGCCTAAGTCACAGCAGAGGGGTTGACCTTGTGCAGGAAGCGGACCCCAGTTCCTCCAGCCTTCTCTTGAGGAAGAGGCCCCACAGTCAGGATTGTGAGGAGAGAGAGAGAAGAGACAAAGATCATTTTCAGACTCCAATCAGATGGCAGGAGCTGAAGGCGCTTAGGAAAGGGTTGGGGAAGGCATGGCTACTGGCTGTGTCTGCAGCAACTGGAAGTCCCAGGTTCAGTGGACACTGGTGGCTCTTGGGAGCAGGAGACCCCACGGAGATGCACAAGCCACAACGATTTATGTAAAGTAAGAATAAAGCCAGTCGTGATGAAATATGCCTTAATCCCAGCACTAAGGAAGCAGAGGTGAGAGAATCTCTGTGAGTTCAAGACCAGTATCATTTACATAGTGAGTTCCGGGCCAGGGCTACATGGTGAGACCATCTAAAAAAAAAAACAAAAACAAAACAAAAAAACAAACAGGCTGGACAGTGGTGGCACATGCCTTTAACCCAGCACTTGGGAGACAGAGGCAGGTAGATCTCTATGAGTTGGAGGCCAGCTTGGTTCCAGAACCTCAGGGGCTACACAGAGAAACCCTGTCTTTAAAAAAGGTGGGTAGGTAGGTGGGTGGATAGGTAGGTAGGTGGGTGGGTGGGTAGGTGAGTGGGTAGGTGGGCGGGTAGGTAGGTGGGTGGGTGGGTAGGTGGGTGGGTGGGTAGGTGGGTGGGTGGGTAGGTGGGTGGGTAGGTAGGCGGGTAGGTAGGTGGGTGGGTAGGTAGGTGGGTGGGTGGGTAGGTGGGTGGGTGGGTAGGTGGGTGGGTAGGTAGGTGGGTGGGTAGGTAGGTAGGTGGGTGGGTAGGTAGGAAGGTGGGTGGGTAGGTAGGAAGGTGGGTGGGTAGGTGGGTAGGTAGGTGGGTGGGTAGGTGGGTAGGTAGGTAGGTGGGTGGGTAGGTAGGAAGGTGGGTGGGTAGGTGGGTAGGTGGGTAGGTGGGTAGGTAGGTGGGCGGGTAGGTAGGAAGGTGGGTGGGTAGGTGGGTAGGTGGGTAGGTAGGAAGGTGGGTGGGTAGGTGGGTAGGTGGGTAGGTAGGAAGGTGGGTGGGTAGGTAGGAAGGTGGGTGGGTAGGTAGGAAGGTGGGTAGGTGGGTAGGTAGGTGGGCGGGTAGGTGGGCAGGTAGGTCAGTAGGTGGGTAGGTAGGTGATAGCAGGGACTGGAGAGATGGCTCAGTTGGTAAACTGCTTACTGTATAAGCTTGAGAAGCTGAGTTTGCATTCACAGAGCCCATAGAAAAGCCTGGTGCAGTAGCACAATCCTAGGATGCCAGCACTGGGAAGGGGTTACAGGGAGACCCTGAGACTCTGGCCAGCCAGTCAGTCTAGAAGAACCAGTGAACTCCAGGTTCAGTAAGAGATCCTGTCTCAAAAGATAAAGTGGAGAGCAAGAGAAGAAGCCACGTTAGCCTGTCATCTTTACATTCACAAGCAGGGGCAGGCTCCCCCCCCACACACACATGCACACACAATATACATAGTATACAAAATAATACATTTGCAAGAGCACAATGAAGCAAAAAGATGCGTGTAAGTATTGAAATGCATGCTTCTTGGGGAAGGAGGATGGGTGGGGACTGGACAGAAGCGATGGAGTGGATCCAGGACATAGTGAGGGTGGTCGGCTGAGACGCGGGGACAAGAGCATTTGCTCTCTGCATCTGGAGGAAAGAAAAGGAGCAACAAGACACAGGAGCTGTACTGCGGTGAGTCCACATGCCCTGCACGTGTGGCATGAGGAGAGCACAGGGTCTGAGCTTGGTGGATGAGAAGCAGAGCTCTTTGCTGCCACATTCAGCACCCACCGTGAGGCTGAGCCACACACCAGAGCTGACTGGCCTGCCTGGAGTTTGCACTGGAGTTTGCACTGCGGTTGGCAGGGGTTAGGACAGGCTGATTTTCCTCCTGCCAGAGAGAGCAGAGAGGGAGGGACCACACATTGGAATGGCTGGCGTTCGCCACCAGGAAGGGTACACCAGGATCTGAGAGAATGCAGAGAACCTTCCGTGGATTCTGAGTCATTGGGTCAGCATGGATTTGGTGAGCGCCTACTATATGCCAAGATCCACGTGATCTGCAGACCCATGAAAGCAGTGTTCAAATCAGTGGCCAATGAGTCCTTTTGCCAAATGCTCAGACACTAGTTCACTGGGGAAAACAGTCTGAGTAGGTTTCCTGGAGGACGCTCTGAATCAAACAGTCTAGGAGAGGTTTTGAGGAAGGGATGGTTATTCGCAGGGGAAACTCTCACAGCTCCTACAGCTAAAGGAAGCAGGGCCTATCCCTAGGAGGTGGGATCAGAGGTGATCCCTTCCCTCACTGAAGTGTCTGGAGATACCGCCCTCTTCCTGGGACCCCAACTCAGGGGATTCACACACTTCCCTGGGGCTTCCTGTTTGCTGGGGCCTGGTTCCTGTTGGGGGCGGGGGCTACCTCTGACAGAGCCCTCACCCGATTCCCACAGTGTGTACCTGCTGCTCCACCTGCCGGACCCGGAAAGGTGAGTAGCAGCCCGCCTGCCTGCAGCCTGCTGGATTCGGCTTGCTTCAGGGGGGCCACTAACCAGGTGCCGGCCCCTGACCTCGGGGCTCCCATTCAGCTGCATGGGCCAGACAGGGACAAAACTCTTAAGGCAAGCACTGTCTTACATTTCCATAGCCAAACCCCTCAGGAAGCTGCTGTCAGGAGGCTGGCTGGGCTCAGTCAGCTGAAGGCTTGACTGAGCCTGGCAGATCCATTCCAAGACGGCTCCAGGGGCCACTCACTGCCTGCAGCTCTTTACCATCCGGCCTCTCTCAGGCTGTTGGAGAGTCCCCACACATGACAAGTGGCTTGGCCCAGAGTGAATGGTTCTAGATAGAGAGGCCAGGCAGGAAGCATCCTAACTGCTCATGATCTTGCTTTTGAAGTCAAGCCAGTGATTGCTCTAAGTTAACTGTTCTGCTTGATGACGGTGAGTCACAAACCAAACCAATGTTCCACGGGAGAAGAATTACCCAGCCTCTTAGAAGGAATGTCAGAGACACACATGAGAATCTTTGACCCAATGGGTAGTCCTACACAGCCCCGTGCAATGTGTCCCGTGGACATGGAGACTGCCCATGCTCCCTTGAAGGGAAGAAGCCCTGAGTTTTCGGGGGAGTCAGCCCTGTTAAAGGAGCTCTGACTTGCCACTTACTAGCTGTGCAGCTTTGTGTGAGTCACCTAACTGCTCTGAACCTGTTTCTTCATCATAAAACAGGGGTGGGGGCCCCTGCTTCGCTTCCTGAACTCTTATGGAAATGGCTGTCAAAAGGCTTTTTGAAGGGTGGCTACTGTTCATTACATTTATTTGTGTGTGGGGAGAGGGGCGTATGAGGACATGTGATGTGCACGTCATGGCCTGTGGAGGTCAGAGAACAACTTGGGGGAGTCGGTTCTCCCCTTTTACAATGTGAGTTTGGGGGATCAAATTCAGACACCATCGGGCTGGGCAGCAGGCACCTTCGCTTGCTGAGCCATCTCTCTGGCCCTTGACTCCTATTTTACAGGCTGGACCAGCCAGGCGAACTCAGGGTTCTGGGGCTCCCACTTCCAGACTCTTGATGTTGTGTGTGCTGGTGTGTGTGCGTGTGTGCGTGTGAGAGAGCGAGAGAGAGAGAGAGAGAGAGAGAGAGGGAGGGAGAGAGGGAGGGAGAGGGAGAGGGAGAGAGAGAGAGAGAGAGAGAGGGAGAGAGAGAGAGAGCGAGAGAGAGAGAGAGAGAGGGAGGGAGAGAGGGAGGGAGAGGGAGAGAGAGAGAGAGAGAGAGAGAGAGAGAGAGAGAGAGAGGGAGAGAGAGAGAGAGCGAGAGAGAGAGAGCTGTGGCCCTCTGGGGCCAGCTATACTGCTATCTTAGAAAATGTCCCTCCATTTTGCGTGAACTTAACTAGATTCATTAGGGACCAGGGTAGGTCCTGGGCTTTGAAAGCCGTAAATAAGTCCATGACAGTGACAGACAGGGACACTGAGCAAGGACACAGCGGGAGGGCGGCATTCAACCAATCTGGGAAGTTGGGGTCTCCCATTGCCAGACATTAGCATGTGGGTCCGGTAGACTTCCTAGGTAACAGTGTCCCCAGTTGGCCATGGCCATTTCTGTCCCCGTTCTGCATGTTGAGTTGTGAATTCCATGAGCCAGGAGAGAACCGCCTAGGACCAGGCCGGTGATGGCCCATCCTTTCTGCTGCATTCTTCCTCCTGGCTCTAGGATACCTTCACCTATGGGACAGCAGTGGTTTGGTTTTATAAAGTCTGCATACCAGACGCTCGGGAATCAGCGGATGGCAGGCACTTGTGGATTCTGCAGGCCCCTGTGTCGGGGTCTTAGAGTGATGGGGGTTTGGGAGAGTGGAGCAGCCATAGCAATAACTAACTGGAAGCACAGACTGGGATGGCTCTGCTTGGAGTCAAGGCCAGGATGCTTTCGCCCCAGCCCTGACTTTTTCAGACCATACTCTCCTAGGGTTCTGCTGACATCCAGTACTCTAGAACTTTCTCCCTGGCCCCCGGAGCTCCTTGCAAGGATCCACCCCACGGTTCCTCCACATTGCATCCCTCTCTGCTCTTAGGGACAACTCTCCTCTCTGGTACTCACTGTCCCTTCTGTAAGGTCTGTGGTCCCTCCGGCTCTCTGTGAGGAAGGCACCCTGCTGCGAAGAGCTGGCAGATGGCTCTGGGATGTGTTTGGCTGACACCAGGGGCTGGAAGCTTCAACACCTTTTGAGAGGATTCCAGTGGGTCTGGGGTGCTTTTCTCCTGATCCCCTGAAATACGTGCAGCATGTGGAGTGTATTCAGTCCAAGCATGGGAAGGCTGTAGGCATCCTTGGAGACTTAGGGCCTTAGGATCCCTGGGCAGAAACTGAACTTTCTAAAGGATTTGCAAATCTAGCTCTCAGCTCAGGACAGTAGGGAAAGGGAAGGTGGGCATTTGGGAGGCTGATGGTCACCTCAGAGGGCAGTGACAGCCATGGCATTAGAGCTTACAGGCCCTGCAAGCAGCAGATGTTAGACACAGCCTATTCTAAACTGTGCCTCCCAGATGCTAGAACATTCTCTCCCAACCTCGGCTTCATTCTGCTGCATTCCCTGCTGCATATGCATATTTCTGTCTCTTTGTAGATGCTTCGGATAGTACCCCTGTCCGCCTTTCCTGCCCTCTTTCCCTCTTCCTCCCTGAGCTGCCTGTCGTTGGTCAGAAAGGCGTGTATCAGGCCCCTTTCTAAAACCAAGTATGTGGGGCATAAATCTAAGTATGTGTGAGTTTCATTCCAAAGCCCTTCTCTGACAGAATTCTCTTTCCTCTCTCCATGGTGACTGCTGGGGACCTGGATGTAAGTGCTCAGACAGGCATGTCCTTTCAACACATGTGTTGCCTTGCACCCCTAATGTGTGCCGTGTGACATGTATGCTAACCTGGGTGTCGTGCTGTACTGTGGGTGGCTCAGGGCTTGGGACTAGCAGATCTGTTCGGGTCTTTAAAGGGCGTAGACTTCCCAGCCCCTCCTTCCAACCCTTTAGTCCTGAGCCTGACACCAGCACACGCACATCCCCTGTTGTAGAGGACAACAGGGGCGCCTGTCCTTAAGTGAAACCACAACCTTGACCCAATCGCAACAGCCCAGTGGGCCCCAGGCCTCGTGCTGAAGGACTGGAGGAGTGTGGCATGACCTCTTATGGCACAGCCTGTGCCTACACAAGTTCTCAGGATCCTGGGGTATAGTCCATTGCTGAGGCTCAGCACATATTGGGTCACAAGTCTGTGCAAATCTATAGGCACTCTCCTGAGTTTCCTGTTCTTCAAACTGGTACCACCCCTCAGTGTGGCCATATTCGTTGTGGCTCATTTCTTATTTACTCAGCTGATTGCTCCAAAAAGGAAATGAATGTGAAGGAAATACATGTGAAATGGTGATTCAAAGTAAGGAGAAAATGGAAGTTGGGGGATGTGAGAAGGAACGTAGGATGGGGAGAAAATCCTGAAGCCAGCCACCCGGTCACGGAGCAGCAAAGACTGGACACCCTCACACTTTCCGGAGGTGTCCACAGTGCACCAGAGCTCAGAAATGTGTCTTGTCCATGTTTACTTTCCATCCTGAGAGTGAGAAACTATACCACCAAGGGGCTAGGGACTCAGCTTAGTGGAAGGGCACCTGCCTGGTGTGTGCAAAGCCATGGATTTGATTTCCAGCATGCTCAATAAATAAATAAATAAATGCCAACAGCACACGCGACAGATGTACAGGGACCGCCCTAGGAGTTGGGGCTGCTTTTTTAGGTGGGGTTCTGCGCTGCTTCCATCTGAAGCTATTTCTGTCCCCCAAGCCACCCACACTGGCCTCCTTTGCGCCCAGCCTCTGCCCGGATCAGGGCTGGCTTCTACTCCTGCCTGTATATCTGGAATGACCTCCCATGCATTTTCAAAATGCAGTCTTTTTGTTCAAGGTTACACCAGAGAGTATGAGCAAACACCCTTTTAACAGTTTAAGTACTGAGATGGACATTGATTGTTCGTTTGGTTTAGCTTTTGTGCCTGAGACGGGCTTCCCACCCTGTGAACCCAACTGTGCGGCCCAGGCTAACCAATGGCGATTGTTAGGATTACCTGAGTGCACACCCAACTTACGGGGTGTTTATCATTACTGTGTGTAACGTGTGGTTTGGATGCACAGCCTCAGTAATTAGGTACCCAAGGGTCCTGCTGTGTCTCTGGGTTATCTTCTGATGCCCGTGATGACTGATGCAGGGAAAGCTCTGGAAACAGGGTTTAAGGGGGGAGCAGCGCACACCTTTTTGAGGCCTAACCTCAGCCAGTGCCCAGCCCCATCCTCAGGATGAAGGTTTTTGATGGGTGGGGCTGGCCAGGATGCTTCTGCATTTTTACCTTGGCCTGGGAGCTTTGGGTCTTGGGTAGGCCTGGACTTTACGCTTCCTCCCAGGCAGAAGCAATCTGTGTCCGGAGGAGTGTCCTGGTTAGCGCAGAGCAGAGATGAGATCTCTGAGGGTCAACAGGCCCCCATTCTGCTTACTGCAGTGGCAGTACCGGCTGAGTGCCGGGCCACAGAGGCTTGGGATGTGAGGGATGAGCAGCCACAACCTCACAACCTCAGGAAGTGTTCTGCTGAGCGGAGACAGGGTGGCTGACAAACTATGCACAGCACTGGGGGCCAGAGCAAGGAGGCTCTGGAGGGCCAGAGTGTTTGAGAAGTGTCATGGAGTCGCTGCCCCTTAGGTCAACAAGCTGACAGGGACAAGGAAACAACGGAACTTGAGAGGAGCACGAGGTGAAGAAAGGGCAAATTTACAATGTCGGGCCCTGCACGGCCTGCTGAAGGCAGATGTGTTCTCGTGCTGCCCTCTGCTGGCTGCCGTGGAGAACGGCAGCGCAAACTGGAGAAGCTTGTAGTTGGTGGCGTCAGTTTGGTTCATACTGGCTGCTGTCACAGAGCAACCAGCCCTGGGCTGACAGATCCAGTTCTGTGGCTGAATGTGATTCTAGGAGCAGTAGCAGGGTAACCCGGAAAGAGCTCAGGTTTCTGTGTGCAGACGCCAGAATGGTAGGACTCTGTGTGCGAGCTGTGGACCCCCTAGCTCTACCTTCTGTGACTCTGGGTGATGGCAAGAGATACACAGACATGTCTGTGGATGCCAGATAAACTGGGTATGGGCAGAGAATAATTTACATCCTAACTAAGCTAGCACAGCCTGGCTCAGTAACACGGCTGCACTCAATGGGCCAAGTTAATCCTGCAGCTTCGCCTACAGTTTATTCAAGCTGGACTGAAATAGGAACCTTGCTGTCACGTGGGGGTTGGGTGGCGGATATTCGCATCTAAATGAGGGCCCTCTGCTATCTAGCACCGGGTCCTTTGAAATGAAAAAATCTGTACAGTGCAGCTCAACGTTATCCCTTGAGTTCTCTTGGCTCTCACACCCCATCTCTTACAGAGTGCCTAGTGCTGCGTGTACAGGGTACTGACCGCACTGTCAACACCGCCTGTGCATACAATTTAGAAAGCCAGGCATCCCTCCTCAGGAGCACAGCTCTCATATTTGGAGGAGAGTCTTCCCTGAGCACTCCTCCCGTGTAACTCGTGGGTCTAGGCATCAGGACTTGGCAAGTCTCAGAGCATCTCCTCCCATCCTCCTGGGAGCTGTTCAGCGGCTTCTGAGCCTACAGCTGATTGCGTACATGCTGCCGAGTCTCCCAATTACACCTTCACCCACCGTCCAGCCCCCCCTAAAGACAGCGGAACTTCTCCAGACTTGGGCCCCCGGCTGTTCTAACAGGTTTGTCGTGCTGTGTACCTAATCTTGCCCTCCCTTGCTCCTTTGCACACTGACCCCTCCCCTCCACTGCACTTTGTCTCCTCTGTTAGATGGACATTAAGTGGTTGAGGGAGAAGTGAATGAGGGTGGTGTGAAGTCATGGGAGCCCCACCAGGTCCAAAGCCCACTGGCGTTTTCTGACGAGGAGGAGGAGGAGGACCTGTTGGAGTTCATGTACATGTACAAGGCACCTAGGCGGACGGAGTTGCCCCTGGAGGTACATGGTGTCTGGAGGTGTGGGCTGGATCGTGTGTCTGCACTAGAGATTTGGGGGTCCTGAGTATGGCCTCATCACCTGTGATACTCAACATTAAGTGAATGGGGGGGGGGAATGACTTCCCTATCAAATAGGTAGGGCAAGTTAGCCTCCAGCGACTTGCCAAGGGGTATGTGGGAGGGGGTGGGTGGGGCGGGATCAGTTCTAGGGATGGAGAAAGTGCCTCTCCAGCTGAGCCTTTTCCTTAGCACCACGGCAATTGAAGGTTACCAGGAAACAATATACTTGGCTTTGTGGCCAGCTGGGATGTAGATGGCTTTGGCAGCAGTAGGACCGACCATACTGGCTGTTTGTGTCACACAAATGGGGAGTCACTAGTCATGGGCCCAGGACAAAGCCACTCAGGGCCGGCTCCTCTCTGGTTCCGTATGTACTGAGCTCTCTGGCCTGAGGGTCCATTGTGAGAATGTCATGATTCACGATCCCGTGAGAAGCAGGTAAGATGCTGGGACATTCCCCTTGACAGGCTTGGAAGCCTAGCTTTCCCGTTCACTCTGAGATGTGGGCGTTCCTTCACTCCTGTTCAAGGTGGATCGTTCCATGTTCTTTCATACGTTATTTACCCCACTCCTCCAGTGTGCCCACCACTGAGCTGCCAGTACAGATAAGTTCTGGGTACTGGCCTCAGAGCCTGGGAAACCTCGAGGTGGGAGAGTTCACTCTAAATATCCCAGGACCGGGATTATGCTTCTTTGTTTTGTTTTGTGTTTTTGCTTTCAAGACTGGGTTTCTCTGTGTAGCCCTAGCTGTCCTGGAACTTGCTCTGTAGATCAGGCTGGTCTCGAACTCACAGAGATCCACCTGCCTCTGCCTCCCAAGTGCTTGGATTAAGGATGTGCACCACCACCACCTGGCTTTTTTTTTTTTAAGACAGGGTCTTTAAAGCTGGCCTCAAATTCCCTCTGTAGTCGGTGCTGGCCACAAACCCCTGATCCTCCTGCCTCCTACCTCCTGAGTACCTCGATCACAGGGATACACCACCACCCCTAGCTGTGGTTCTGTTTAAGCTTTGCACATGGCTCCCCGCTTACTGCAGTGTCCAAGAAACAGGTGCCTAAAGAGGAGGTCTTCATTGCTGCCTCAGCCTATGTCCGGAAGTGAGTAGTGAACCTTTCTACCAGTGAAGGTGTGGCCTTAAAGGTCTGGGGGACACGGAACCTATTCCCCACTTGGGTGCTTATCTTGCTCTAGGTTAGCCAGTCACCAAGAGATAGTGATGAAAGGGACAAAGGCTTCCCACCAGTCTGGTGGGCAGTGAAGGGTGGTACCACCCTCCCTGGACCTGGGTACAAAGCCCTCTGCTGTGGGGCACATACAAAACATCACTGAGAAAAGGGAGCTGGAGGTGCATAGCTCGTGGGTAGAATGATTGTTCAGCAATGGACGAACCCTGGGTTCAATGCTCCAGTATGGGAGGGAGACAAAGAAAGAGCTAGCCGGGTGTGGAGCCCATCGGTAATCTCCATCACTTGGGAGGCTGAAGCAGGAGGGTCACAAGTTTGATGCCAGCCTGGCCTACAAAATGATCTCATGGCCACCTTGACTTACTTAGAAACACCGATCTCAAATGAATGAAGGACACTAACTAGGCCACTATGAGAGACAAAGATGGCTGTGTGTGGCCAGGCAGGTCAGAGAGTCAAGGGGTCTCCTAGACAAGTGACTTTTGAGCTGGTGCTCAGGGGGACTAGAAATGTACAAGTAAAGGGGGAATAGGGCTTCCGGTCATAAGGGCCCGTGGTATCAAAGCACAGTGGAGGGTCCTCACAGAGAGGCTTGGGCTGCGGACAGTGGATTGGGGCCAGCTCTGTGACCCCCATTCGGTGGCATTCTTAGGAGAGTCTCCCCTTTATTTCGGTTGTGATGCCTCCTGTGGTCTGTGCCTCCCCTGAGAGAAATAGTCCCTGCAGTCATCATTGGGGAGATGGACGAGGTGGTGTTGGTCTTTGTTGTGTAGCCATCTGGACAGTAAAAGGTTTCACATCCAGAATGATGCTTGGAAGCTTGACACATATACCAGGAAAGTTCCCAGAGGGAATATAGAAATGAGCAAAGGGCTGGAGCACATTTGAATTTGAAACAAGGAAGGTATGCCATTGTGCACAGCCCTTCCTTCTCTCGGGACTCAGGAGGCTGTGATGGCTTTCCTACCGGGCTCAGTCTCACCTCACAAACTGCAGGGGTGGGACTCTAGTAACTGACTCCTGTTGTGGGACCCCAGCTCTACCCATTGGGGGGGGGCTGAGCAAAGAAGGCGATGTCTGGGTACCTTCCCCGGATGCTGTTCCCTCAAGCCACATGGAGGACGCCCTTTCTGTTTTCTCCACCAGGCACCGCCTAGAACCCTTCGGTCCCGCTTCAGGAAGAAAAGTACCTCATCCTCGGCCACCGAAACCACGTCAGTGAGATGAGCCAACAGCACCGGACCCACAGACGTCTCCCTCTGCCTTAAAGAGCTAGTCACTAGTGACAGGGAAGTGCGCAGGCTGGGTGTGCTTTGAGTGTGCAGCCTCGCAGACATGGCCCTTACTCCTCCCCTCTTCTGCCTTTGAGAATTTTCTGTTCTTCCCTTTTTGTTTCTGGGGGAGAGGCTAAAGGGAAAAGGTGGTGGTGGAGGGTCACCTTTCTGTCTTCTGGGATTAGTTATTTTCCGCAGTTGAATCGTCATTGTGGCCACAATGTTTTTAGACATATAAGCACTCCTACCCTGCTGCTGAGATGGACGTTTGTAATTTATTTGTTGCATAGTTTTTAGTCCTGTACATGCAAACGAAGTGATCTTTTTAAAAACCCTTTCTGTTGTTCTTGGTACTAATACATTGGACTATGATGTATATATTACGGCTTTTAGCTTACTGTAATGAACTTGCAAGGGCTGCCAGAGATTCTGGTAAGTGAGAGAGCTGCAAAAACCAGAGATGTAGGCAAATACTTTGATTCTAGACAATGTCTCAACCTGCTTACAAAGCCGGTGCCTGTAGGGCATGCCTTCTGCTGGAAGATGGCCTTCGTTCTTCAAGTGGCTGTGCAGCCCGCAGAGCAGAGCTGAGCCAGGAGCGCAGGGTCTCAACCACAGGAAGGAAGGTTGCTGAGTCAGGGAAGAGGTTCAAGATCAGAAGCTTCTGAGGCCACTGGACCTGCCTTGGGCAGGCAGGTGGCTCACCCTTAGCAGAACCGTTTGCGGGGCAAGGAGACTCAGCTGCCGGAAGAATTCCAAGTATCTCAGAAACACTTGGCAAGAGTATTTCTCCTTCAGGGACCAGTGCTGTGGCTAATTTCTCCAGGAGGAAGAGCCTGCATCTGAGCGCCTTGCTTTAGAGAACACTAAGCAAAGAGAAAAGGCTAGAACTAGGCTTTGTTTCAGACGTGCTCACATAGCCACCGGAAGGCAGGATCTGGGGTGGACTGAGGCTGAGATCCAGGGGCAGCTGGCCCCTCTGGCTTGTGTGGAAGATGAACAGGATGGACTGGTACTCATGCTCACTCATGTCTTCGTGGATGATTTTTACAAGCCAGGACCACATTGAGAATTTTGACAAGTGTTTGACTTAGATGACATGGTGTGGTCTAGGAAGCCGCCTTCTCTCCCCCCTCCCCCCCCCCCCCCCCCAGAGCTGAGCCAAACTGTAGGGCTAGTCCATTTGTGCTCAAAGTCGGTGTTTTCTTTCCATGTAATGCACGCAGCCCAGTTACTCACATTTGGATCGTGTTTGTTCATAGCTATGCCCTGAAGACTAGAGAAGTAGTGTTGTGTACCACATAGAACTATCAATAACGGCAGACAGGCTCAGTTACAAAGCGCTCCGTTACGGAGCTCCGCAAACATGCACTGGGAGATTGCCAGTCTACATTCGCTGGACTCTGGCCACTTCACAAAGGATTTTAGCCGAAGTTCATCGCTACCAGATACACCTAATGAAATTCTCCAAAGGTGGTCTGTATCTTAGAACTAACTCCAGGGAACTATCTCAAAAGCTCGTGACTGGGAGGGCAAATAGTCAGCCTGTGACCCACACCCATCTGAACCCGTTAAGAAAAACATCTGTCACCCAACAGCTCCAGACAGGCGGAATGATCGCCTGTAAAATGTACGAACCTGTCGGTCGGCTGGGTGTATCTGGGACAAAGAGAAACAGGTGCAGAAGAGCTGGCTCTGCAGCTCCCCACCCCAAATAATAAACCGCTTTAGGAGCAGAGTTTAAGTCCTGCATTTTCACACTTTACAATGCAAAGTCAAAACACGTTAGGCTCCCGAGTTTGTACTCAGCTACGCCAAAATCATTTAATTCACAGCCCTCTTCTCAGACACACTGTGTGACTTCTGTTTTAAAACACACGGGCATCTAAACTGTCGTCTCACTATGAACGTAACTACTTTTCCTTCAAGTGTTGATAGGGGGTCACCTCCTCTCTTAAAGACACTACGGAGCCGAGCGCAGCTGTCTCGTTTCTCGAAAACTGTGTTTACTTTTCCGACAAGCTGTGCATTTGTATGTGGACTGACATAGGATGCGAATGCCCCTGTCCGTGTAGTGTGTGGTGCTGTCTAGAGAAGACAAACGAATGTTTCGACTTTGCAGGCTTAGACTCGCTGTTTGCGAGTGCGGGCTGGAAGGTGTGCTCTCGCCTCAGCTGAGCCACTCGCCTCGGAGCCCGTGCTGAAGTGGAGAGGCGGGGTCTCACGCGGAGGTTCAGCCACACTCTCCGGCCTGTGTGAATAGCTTGCTCACTCACTCTGCTGCTCTGATGTGTGTGTTCGCCGCGGTAAACCGTCCACGTGTTTGTGTTAAGAGTGCTTGTCGGCCGCAGCCTTCGTGTAGCCGTCCCAGTTCTTGCACAGCATTTGAAGTGTCTGAGATGTGGAAGACGTGGCACTCAAGCTGATGGTCTGGACTGTGACTGTGCACATTCCCTCTAGTTTATTTCCGAAGCTTCTAGAATGAGCTGTAATTAAATAGTATACTGGACTGTCTCTAAGGGATGTCAACTGCAGTATTCCAAAGGCGGAGGCTCTGCTGCTTTGTTATAATGCCTGATCAACATCTTGAATAAAGTCTTAACATTTTTCTTTAAAAAAAAAAAAAACAAAACTGTAATGTTGGGCTTATGAGAAAAGAGAAAACAAAAAAACAAAACAAAACAAAAAAACAAAAAACAAAAAAAAAAACAAAACAAAAAAAAAAAAGGTTTGTTATTTTGGTGGTTTTTAAACCATTACTGGCCCAGACCAGCAAGTCATTCCTCAGGGTGAGTACCAGGAGATAAGAAGTTAAACAAGATAAAAGCTGGGGTTGGGAGGTCATGCACAGGCTGTCTTATCCCAGACAAGTTTATTAAGAAGTACAGCATCTTATATATAGTGTTTGGGGCGGGAGGGGGTGGAGTCAGCAGAGAGCCATCACACAGTGGGATGAAGGCAGAAGGGAGCTGATCAAGCAGGGCTGCACACAGGCTATCTCAAGTGCATCACAGACCCAGCACACGTCAGCATTGGGACCGAGAACTCCAGTCTCTTCAAGGGAAAAGACTTGACCCTAGCTCCAGACCAGACTTTGCCACGTCTACCCTGGGCAAGGACACAGAATTAGTTTCCTTTTGTTCCTTCATGGGGGCCTCTGAGAAAGCTTTGGATTGGCCTGTCTCTCAGCAAATTATGTGTGCATGTGTGCCTGCACACAAGAGTGCAGGAGGAGTGGCCAGAAGAGGGCGCCAGATCCCTTGGAGCTGGGACTCCAGTAGTTGTGAACCACCAGATGTAGGTTCTGGGGATCAAACTTGGGTCCTCTTAGCACTCTTAACCACATGGTACTATCTCAGCAACCCCAAAATACTTTTTAAAAATGTGGATAGGGCTAATATCAAGCCTGATAGCTTGAGTTTAAACCCTGTATTTGATATTATGCTGGTGGCCAGTTACTTGTTTCTTATCGGCTAGCTCTGTCTTAAGTATTAACCCATTTCTATTAATCTAAGTACTTCCACGTGGTCTCATCTTACCGGAGAGCGGGCTGGTGTTCTGCTCTCTCCAGTTTCCCCATGCTGACTCCTCCCTACTCCTTGTCTCCTAGTCCCGCCTATCTTGCTTTCCTATTGGCCAACAGTGCTTTATTCATTAACCAGTATGAGAAACATATTTACAGAATGACATCTCCCATCATAACAAGGGTTAGAAAATGAGTGCCTAACTACTCCCTAGCCTGGAAGCTTGCCCACTGTAATGGATGGCTGGGAGGAATAATGCCACGGTTGTGTTTCACAAACCAGCTGGTCACACGACTATTAACCTTGTGGTGTCCTATTGTTTTAAAGATCACTGGAAACTGGGACCTGTGAAACCAGGAGTAGCTCACTAGTCGGCAGTTTGACTTTTGCAAGCAGCCTCTGGGTAGCTGTTTTCTTGAGCGTTTCTTCATTTGCAGACACAGAATAGCTCTGCAGGTTGAAATAGGCTTGTGCATGTGCCTGGAACGATGCCTCTAACATTCCACATCCCTTGCCTTTAAACCATGAGCTTCGGGCACCGGGGCCTTAGCTGTCACAGAGTGCTTGTACAGAAGGCATGAGGCACAGGGCTCTGTATCCAGCACCACAGAGACAGGATGTGACAGCACATGCCTATCATCCATCCCAGAACCCAGAGAGACAGGATGTGACGGCACATGCCTATCATCCATCCCAGAACCCAGAGAGACAGGATGTGACAGCACATGCCTATCATCCATCCCAGAACCCAGAGAGACAGGATGTGACGGCACATGCCTATCATCCATCCCAGAACCCAGAGAGACAGGATGTGACGGCACATGCCTATCATCCATCCCAGAACCCAGAGAGGTAGGGACAGGAGGATCAGAAATTCAAGGTCATCCTCGGCTACACGTGAATTTAAGGCCAGCTAAGCGAGACTGCCTGGACACACTGGAAAATAAGAAGTGAGAAGAGATGGGAAGAAAGGCTGGTAGCCCATTCATTTACTCATTTACTGAGCCAGGGCCACACAGCAGCAGAGTCGACAAGCAGGAAGCAAAGTCACACAGCTTCCGGGCTGAGCTGGTAGAATTATCAAACACTCACTACTACTGTCAGATCACAGTCATTTGCTGACTAAGACTGAGTTGTCCTATCTTATTAGAAAACCAAAGGAAGCACACAAGATCCCACATAGTTAGACAGGGGTTCTAGGATACATAAGCTGTATTTTAAAGTAATTTATTTAAGCTTCTATAAGCTTTAGCTGCCTCCAAATTATATTAGGGATAAATGCTAGCTCCTTTAAAAGGCTAGCATGAAGTCCAGCAGATTTTTGCAGACATACTGAAATATAGCAGTAAATTATATGTGAATCAACAAGTATACATATACTTGAACATCATTTAGGCAGGTCCTTTTTACTGTCACACTAAAAACAGCTCTGATGAAAGGCTGCCCTACCCACTAACAAAAGCTGCATGGATGAGGGCCTGCAGCCCTCTACCCCAGCCTGTGGTTGCTGGTCCTTCCCTGCCTAGCCTGCCCTTGGCCACACGGGAAGCCAACGTGTTGAGGCCATGTAACAGAGACCCGAATCACCCGCACTGACTCCAGAGGAGCTCTGAGGCTGCGCAGTGTCTTCCTTCTAGTTTCTGCAGTGCCAGCAGATGTGGAGCTGTGCAGGTGAGGGACTGCAGAAGCCACAGCACTCAGCTCCTGCCACCCCAGGACACTGACTGAGCACAGGCGGGAAGAGCCCCCAGAACAGGAGCCATCTGGTGAATGAGGTGCTCAGCTTGCACACGTGGTTCCACATACATACATGCCTGGCCTTCTGGTTTCAGGCCATTCCACACCTCTCCATGTAATGCACACAAGCACTGGCTTCAATGAATAGCCCTCGAATTCCTGGCCTGACATCCCACAGAACTTCAACTGGTTATCTTATTCCACTAAATGGAGGAATTTCACGTTATCATCTAAGACTTCAAACAGTAACTCATTCATAATTCTAGTTAATGGGAGTTTTCAACTTGGCAAGCTGCTGTTTGAAAATGTTTCCATTCCAACGTTGCTGTTTTGAACTGTAGCCATCACTTGCCACTCTTTAAGTAAATAATATGTAACTCTTGCATCATTTTTCCCATTCAAGTACTAACAGGTCTGGCCCTGCTTAGCTTCTGAGAGCAAACAAAATCATGCACATTTAGGGTGGTGTGGCCATAGTCTCTTGCCATTTCTAAGATGAGTGATAGTGTTGCCCTCTAGCACAGCTGGCACAGCTGGCCAGTCTCATCAAATGACAGATACTACTTACCCCTTAGTTACCACAATGTGCTTTAGCGAATTCTAGAAAAAGCCTAGCCTAACAAATAAAACTAAGAAATCTCAAGTAGATAAACGTTTTTTAAAAAATACAGTGATCTAAAAAATTGGGCAGAGGCCTGCAGAGACAGTTCAGCAGTCAGGAGGAACTCCTGGCTGTTCTTGCAGAGGCTCAGCACCCACACAACCATGTATAATTCCAATGCCAGTGGACCCAACAATCTTCTGGCTCCAGGGACACCAGGCACCCATCTGGTGCACATATATACATGCAGGCAAACACTCATATATATTTAAAAAACAAAAACAAAAATTAAAGTTGGAAAGAAAAATTGGGCAGGAAGAGTTTATTGTATAGCTGTGCTTCATGAAGGATATGTGGAAAGGTGATCCACTTTTATGAAAAGTATCCTGTTACACCGGGCAGTGGTGACGCTCACCTTTAATCCCAGCACTCAGGAGGCAGAGGCAGGCGGATCTCTGGGAGTTCGAGGCCAGCCTGGTCTACAGAGCGAGTGCCGGGACTCGCTGTCATAACTGTCATAAACACAAAGACACAAGATGAAACCACACTACTACCCTATGTCACTTCTACACAAAACTGCTTTTTTAATTCCAAATGAACCTGCTGATACAACTAAGAGGGTCTGGATAGAATCTTGACCTCAAAACAGACAAGCTCTACACTGCATGGTGGCATGGGTTAAGGTTTACGATGAAAAGGCAAGCTGGTCCACTTTACAGGCCCTTGGCAATTAGACACAGGAGAAGACAAGAGCTGAGGGTTGTAATGTTAAAAGGAACCTCAAAGGTTCAAACTGAAGAGTCTGGGGGAACATAAATTTTACATAAGCAGAAGGAAAGATGAAGCGATGGATAGAGTCACATAATGACAGAGCTGAGGCATAAAGCCTCATCATCTCCTGCTCCATCCAATTCCTGCCCTTCCCAGGTGGGGTGGGGAAGTCTCAGGTAGGAGACCAAACTATGAGGTGGTCCCTGAGTTCCAAGGTACTTAATTCTTGAAATGTGTCATGCAACATATTGAGGATAGGCACACAGGATGTCTGTTTGGTATGTGCAAGGCCCTGGATGCAATCTCAATCCCGCAAAAAGGCCCACTGTATGCCTTTCATCTTTTTCTTCACTCCAGATGCCTTGTAACCGATGGGAACAAAGAAAGTCATTACCATTTTATGGAAATAATGCACAAAAAATTAACATTTAGTTCCATGACCAGCTCCAGGAATATTTAATGCATAGACTTTTAAAGCACAATGGTGGTATTCTACATTTGTCAATCAATTAGTACGGTCTATGTTTATCACATGCTCACTTCTGCAAGGACATCACGTACACAGAGATCCACAATCCACAGCTGGGAACCTATGAAAGCTCTGGACTACACTCGCAGGTTCGTTCGGTCATGGTACATCAGGTAAGGGTCGTTGGCATACCAGTTGCGCCTCTTCCAGAAGGACGTGGTCATTTTATCTAGAAGTTTGCTCTGGGTCTTGCTGCAGAACACAAATTCCCTCAAGCGCTTTTTTCTTGCCGTTGACTTTTTCCATAGTTTCTTCTTATAGCCAGCCTGTAAGATAACGTTACAAAGACATTTTAAAAATCACAAATGCAGCAGGGCGTGGTGGTGCGTGCCTTTGATCCCACAGGTGGCCGTGGATGTCATATTTATAGAATTCTATTGATGGCCCTGTTCATCACCACTAGCATCCTTTAAGATGACTCTGCAACAGGGACGCACTGAAAACACTAGAAGCCTTGGTTTCTAGGTCAGAAATGGAAGCAAGGGACACCTGGATGAAACCATGCCACAGACAATACTTCCAGATTTTATAATTAGTGTGAGTTAACTGAGTTAACCCACCCAGACTTGTTTTTCTTTTCCTTCCTTCCTTCTCTTTTGTGATTTTTCGAGACAGGCCTTGGCTGTCCCAGAACTCACTCTGTAGGCCAGGCTGGCCTTGAACTCACAGAGATCTGCCTGTCTTTATCTCCTCAGCACTGGGATTAAAGGCATGTGACACCACAGCCTGGCGACTTTTATTTTTCTATAAATTTTGATAAAGCTGGCAAAATGGCTTAGTCAATAAGGAGCTTGTCTCATAAGCCTGATGACCTGAGTAGATGCTGGGAACCCAGGTAAAAAGGTGGAGGAAAAGCCCCCAAACCCATATAAGGTGGAAGGAGAGACTCGCTCCATACAGTTGCCCTCTGACCTTCAGGTGCATGCTGTGATATGCCCTCTACCTAGTAATAATAAACTTAACAAAGTAAATATATAACATTAGATTTTGATGAGGCACGAGACACAAGCTAGGATGAGTACTGCTGAAGAGTTTATCAGAACTTCTACAGTAACCAGGAGTTCAGAACCCAATAACAAGCAGGGGCTGGAGAGGTGGCCCATGGACTGAGAGCACTTGCTATTCTTGCAGAGAACCCAGGTTTGGCTCCCAGAACCCACAAGACAGCTCTCAATCATCTTTAACTCTAGTTCCAGGAGAATAAACACCCTCTGCCAGCTTCTGCAGGCACCAAGCATGCACACGAACATGCAGGCAAACACATTCACGTAAAATAAATAAATCTAAAAACAAATAAACAAAAGAGCGACTAGAAATGAAGGAAAGAAAATCACTCATGTCACACTAAAGGGCCGGGCATAATAAAGGGGAAAACCTATTTCTAATGGTTCAAAGAGAAGCACCGGGACACCAGGACTGCCGTGCAGCTTCTTCTGGACACCTGAGCTCCTGCTAACTCAGAACAAGCTTGTTTCCATGGAGAAATGAGCTGAGTTCTAACCCACACATTCATCTACAAATTTAGGGTTGTCTCTAAGATAATGGATAACCCTCTCGGCCCGTCCAATAGTGACTGTACCTGCCTTACGAAGACTCTGCACTCTGAATAATGCTTTGTTTTATCCACATTCATGCCCTTTCTCTGCACAAGGGTGGATAGAGGCGCCTGCAAAGCTGGCACCCCAGCGCCACACAAAAGAGCTACTCGTGACTCGAGAGAGCATCAGGGTTAGGCTCACCAAATTCAGCTGCGTAAAGACTTACTTTTCTCCTTAGCCAAAGGCCAGAATGAAGTCGAAGGAAGCGATGCACGACTGATTTTACTGTCTTCCTCTTGCCTTGCCGTGTGCTGCAGTATGTTAGCGTTCTGATGGGCGGCTTCGCGACACTGGGAACCAGTGCGGCCACTCTAAATACAGTTTGTGAAATGTAGCAATCAGACTGACTGAAGGACAAGACCCATCGCACTGCTCCACTGGAGGGAACTGACCTTTAACACACTTTACTTCAAGTGACACTAAGCACAAAGAATGGCAGCCTCCTCAACTTCAAGCCTTCTAAAGTCTGCCCCTTCAGGGAGCAGCAGAGCCTGTGCTTAGCACATACAAGACTCTAGGCCCAATTCCCTAACACCAAAAATAAAACCCACCCACTCGATCACTCAGAGACAATTTATCCTACTATGTTTTTTGGTTTTTTTGAGATAGGGTTTCTCTGTGGATTTGGAGGCTGGCCTGGAACTCACTCTATAGACCAGGCTGGCCTGGAACTCACAGAGACCCACCTGCCTCTGCCTCCCAAGTGCTGGGATCAAAGGCGTGCGCCACCAACGCCTGGCTCCTACCATGTTTTAATCACAGTTTCTGATCTATCTGATTCCCTGAGTATGATCTGCTTGAGGAGTTCAGCTTCTTTATCTTTGTGCACTTTCTGCAAGGGTAGTGCTGGGCACTTATGGGTGCTTAACTGAGCATTTCCTGACTGACTGATTACCACACAGCAAGCCACACAAGCTGGGTGTCTCATTTGACCTCTGGTTTGCCTGACACCTTCCACATGAACAGCATGAGAAATGAGCCCAGGAGTGGAAATAGATATCATTGTACAGCACTAACTAACCTAGCACATACAAGGCCTTAGGTTCCTTCCCCAGAGCCAAAAATATTAAAAAGCCAGGCATGGTGGTGCATGCCTGTAATCCTAGCACTCAGGGGACTGAGCCAGGAGGGTGACTATAGGTTTAAGACTACACAGCAAGATGGAAGGAAGTGCTCTGTGCACTGTTCCTGTTACCTAGGATACCAATCCTATTTTCCTCCTCAGTCAGGCGGTGTATATCATAAACCCCAGGCAAGCAAGATTACTTCTAAAATGCCTTGACCACATTTTATGGATTTTGCGTACTAGGGACAGAAGAAAGAACTTCACCAATGGGACAGAGCAACTGTACCACTGAGCTACATGCCTAGCCTAGGCACAAATACTTCAAAAAATTTGGTGTGAATATTGTTTAAGTATGTAATTGGAATGTACTCTACCTATTCAGGACTGTTGCAGTATGCCCATGTGTCAGGGTTCTCACAGATGTGACAAGTCTTGGAGCAAAGGAAACAACTGGTGTCTGAATATGTCTAAAATGAGTGGTGCACAGTGCGTTCTTGGCATAGTTCCGATAGGCTGACGATGCCAAGGCATTCAGGGGACGTAATATTCCTGCAAAGACAGAGAGAAGATCATGTACTGAATATATTCTAACACATACACCCACATATACTGCATGGAAACCAAGTTAGACCTGCCAGAAGGTTTCTGAGCACCAGAAACACAGAGGAAGCTTTTTGCCAACTTCATTGATATATAACTTACATACGATAAAATTACCCATTTTTATATACACAATGGTGTTTACAAAACGTAGGATTCTACAACCATCATATACTCCAGGCTACATTTATTAGCTCTATGCCCAGCAACGAGGAACAAGGTATGTATGAGATTAATTGCTCCCTGACAATTTTTAGCACAGGGAACCAGCCCCTCCAGATTCAGTGCAGTGGCAAGTCACAGACACGGCAGCTGGACAGAGAGAAGATTCAGAAGAAACCACAAGAGGTGCTTCAGTTTCCCTGACAGTAACAGACATGCTGGCAGTGACCTCACCTGTAATCTCAACATTGAAAAGTAGAGTCAGGAGGACCAGGAATTCAAGGCTATCCTTTACTACACAGCAAGTTTGAGGTCAGCCTAAGCTACATTAGACCCTTCCTCAAAAATACAAAACATAAAACAGAGGCAAACAAACAAATCAATAGGGGCTAGAGAGGTGACTCACACGTGCACATACACAATACACATAATTAAAATAATTGTTTTTGTTGGGAAATTTAAGTACTTGTCCCTTACAGCTCTCTTCCTCCCCACCAGCAGTAGAACTTCTGTGCAAACAAGGTTGAGCAAACAAGGTTGTTTTCAGAACTTTCCGGTGTGCAGTGCAGGTGTGCCTTGACCCCAGGTGTGGGTGGTGCATGACTTCCTCCTATGCTTAGCCCATCCCCTGGCTTGGGTATATAAGCCCATTACTCTCTGTAATAAACAGTGGTGGCAGCAGCTTCTTCTTAACTTCTCGTGGCGGTCTGTTAAGTGTTTCAATCCTGACACCCTCCACCAATCTCGGTCCCAGACCGTGCAGGTGTGGCAGAGGTCCCAATGAGATTTGGAAAGTGAGGAATCGTGGACAGGGTTGCTCTGTAGCCGGCAGGAGCGCATTGGGGTAAACAAGGTACATACAACAATATGGGAATTGCTTCAAGTAAGAATGAAATGAAGGAACAAATAAGAAAGATTTTAAAACAAAAAGGAACAGAGATTAAAAGTAAAGCTGCAGACACCATAGAGAAAGTTAGTCCTTGGTTTCTGACCGGGGGAGGACTCAATGTTCCTGATTGGGAACAAGTGAAATCAGACCTGCAGAAGAAGCTACATGAAGGGGGTCCTGACAGCGTTCCCATAGCCACCTCCTCTTTGTGGGGGTTAGTCAAAGATGCCTTCCTAACAGACAGAGTTAAAGTGAAAAAACAACTAGAGACAACTAAGGAGGCTTTTAGAGAGGTCCAAGAGGAGGAAACTAGACTATTCAGATCCCCAGTAAAGAGAATGATACAAAAAGGTTAACATCTTCTGAATTCGAGTGGGAGGAGGACTCGGAGGAGAAAACTTTAATAAAGGAAACTGAAGAACTCTGCAGTAAGCTGAGGCTTTGTCATAAAAAAACCTCGTAAGAGACATGGTCATGAGGGTCTTTCTTCAGATGAGGGAGATGAGGAAATAGCAACAACTGTTAAAAGAAATGCTGAAGGATTAATCCAATTTATAGATTTTAAGAATGCTTTGATTTCAAAATTTAAGTCTAAGGACAGGTTACTGGGGAAAAGGATTTCTATTTTTGTTTCCACAGAAAATAAAAAGCTGTGGATTCCTTCCAGACTAACATGGTTTGATCAAGCAAGACCCCCCTGAAGCAGTAACCCAGGTGATCCAACATTCAAAACAGCTGGGACAAGGCATCCTTGCAGACTACTTCAGCAAGAATTTTTGCATCTTCTTAGGAATCCCATGACAGTGCCCCCTACCAGCAGGAAGCAGTTTGGAAAGAACAACGCCCAAATTCTCAAATATTGTTTACAGAGAGAAGTGACTGAAAAAGGGGTTTTAAAAACAAAATTGGTAAAATTTCATGTCCCATGTGGAGGAATGGGTACAGCACTGGTCAGGGTCTTAACTTCTCGTGGTGGTCTGTTAAGTGTTTCAATCCTGACACCCTCGGCCAAACTTGGTCCCAGACTGTGCAGGCGCGGCAGTTTTAAACAGTTAGGTGATGGCTTAGTGAGTGAACTGTTTGCTATGCAAGCATGAAAACTTGAGTTAGGAGCCCCAGGAGCCAAGCAAAAGCTGAACATAGTACCATCACAGTACCAGGGTAAGCAAGGGGTAGAGACAGGCGTTTGCCAGAAAGATCCAGGTTTAGTGAGACATCCCATCACAAAAAAATAAGTCAAAGAGCCACAGGAAACACTCAATGTTAATGTCACATGTGCACATGTATTGGCATGCACACCTACCCACCCCACATACGTGTGAACACACAAACTAAAATGAAAGGAAAAAAGAAAAGAAACACTTCCAAGAAGGAGGAGAACCCACTTTGGTTCCAAATCTCGGTGGGACCTCCAATTGCCACTCCTGCACGGCCTGGGACCGAGATTAGCGGAGGGTGTCAGGATTGAAACACTTAACAGACCACCACGACAACATTAGCAAAAGCCTTGGTGCACAACCATATGGCTACGGATGGGAACAGCAGGATCAGGCCTTCCAGAGGCTGTGCACTGCTTCCCAACCACAGCAGAAATGCCCAGGAACAGGCAGTGGAAATGAGGCTGGGCAACCAGAAGGCAGAGTTGGGAAGGCAGAGATATATGAACTGGAGGATACCTGCTTTGCCAATCCTCTCCCCTGAGGTCACTCTGCAAATCAGAGAGGATCATAGGGTTTACTTCTCCAGTACTTTCTAACCAACTTTAATTTGAAACTCAAGTATATACATGCTAAAAATGTTTCATGAGAAAATGGAAATGTCTTAAGATCAGAATTTGATGATGATTTTGCCATCAAGCTAAATGCATAATAATGAGTATATATATTAAAATCAGGTCACCTGCAAGACCAGAGTGGACCAGGGTTCAGTTCCCAGCACCACATGGCACCTAACCATTCATAACTTCAGTTCCAAAGGATCTGGCACCCTCTTCTGGCCTCCAAGGGCACCATGCACACATGCAGTATAATTAGGCAAAAAACTCATGCAAGTAAATATTTTTTAAAAGTGTAGGTCTGATAATACTAAGTATTGGGAAGGGTATGGAGCCTCTACTGCTAAGGTGACTACATCAGCATATTCTTTTAGAAAATAGTTTATATATGTACCCCCTGACCCAGTAATTCCACAGCTAGTTAGAAAGACACACACACACACACACACACACACACACACACACACACACCCCTACCTTAGTAACATCCTTGCATTCATAAACCAGAAGTAATACCAGTAAGGTTTGTATATCACACCATCTAACCAGGTGTCCTGGCTCACATCTGTAATCCCAGCACTTAGAGGCCAAGACAGCCATCCTGGGGTATATGAGACACCCAAACTAAAACCACTCAAGTGTCCATCAGTAACAGAATAGAGGACTGTGGCAAAGTCATATAAGGAAACATAGCAGCGAGGAAGCAAAAAAGTTTCATGAAAAACAATCCCCGCTGAGTAAAAGGAAACCAGAAATTACACTACATACATTATATATAAATTAATGTAAAGTTCAAAACCAGACAAAATATGTGATTGAGAGATGAAGGCACAGTTGCTAAAGTGGCTATGGAAATAACAGGCAAACGAATGATGATTGGGACAACTGGGTGGAAAGGGACTTGTCTTGAACTGGTGTTAGTTACACATATGTCCACTTCATAGAGATGCTGAACCATTCATCTACGTCATATGAACTTTTCATTATACATATTTCATATGTAACTCACAAAGCGTCCCACTTTTCAACTCTAGTACCTGGAAATTTTGTACGGTTACTTTCTTTCTTCTTGGCCTTCTGTCTGCTGCCCCACAGAATTTCATCCCTACAGTATAACTTGTGTAAGTCACTTACTGATCCCTCCTGTCGCACACGAGTAATTTTAATTCTCTACGTGGGTCTCCCGTCACCCCTGGATAATTTCCCCTTGGGAGGGCCGTGGTTCAGACACACGGTATACTTCGATGCTTTAGGGGCTTGCGTTTAATCCGCTTACAGCTATAGCATCAAAACTCCGGAGGAACTCCACGACTCAAGGTCGCGGGAGGCGGCGTGACCCTCCAGTCAGAAGAATGGAGCCCTGGGTGTCACCCTGGCCGCCTCCACCGCGGTCTCAAGTCGGCTTCCCAGGGCAGGGTGCGCGCGGAGAGCATCCGACCTCGCGTCATCTTGCTGGGTTTTCTTTCCCTGTTAACGTCCCTCTCCCTCTCCCTCTCCCTCCGCGCCAGTCCTTTTCTCCGGGAAGACGTCAATGCAGTACTGACCTGCAGCGGCTCTCACCGCACTCCCGAGGACGGACGCCGCCATCTTGCCGCCTGCCTACGGCGGCTGCAGGGGGTCACAAGCCAGAACAAGCAGGTGAGCGGAGGCGGAGTCACGGGGAAACAGGCGTGGCCAAGGCCAGGCAAGCTGGACTGTGCCTGCTTGGCGGGTTTTCCCCTAAACCGCAGCCTTTCTAATTATTCGTTTTGTGTGCGTGCAAGTTTGGGTCCACGCTTACCACCGCGTGCTTACGGAGGTTAGAGGAGAACTTGCAGGAGTCGGCTCTGCCCAAACTCCCCATGTCCACAAGGTCTCCCCAGATCCCTAAGGTGACTTGGAACTCCTGGGCTCAAGTGATTTTACTTCAAATATAACTGACAGCAAGGATTACAGTCGCTGCCGCTGAGCCAGCATGGGTTATGTGAATTCTCTTAAAAAGAAAATTTTAAAAAGGAAAACTAAAGTGAAAAAGAAGGGAAGAGAAAGATCCAAAATACCAAAACAAAAAAGAAAAACACAGGAGGATTATAGAAGTGTGTGTGGACACATTCTGGGTTCCGAACCCCCTACCTTGTTGATGTTTCTGCTGCTGTGCTACATATTTGAGCCATTCTTGGCTCTGCTTCTCATTCCAGCACCGGAGTGCTGGGGCTGCAGGTGGATGACCACATCTGGCTTTTCCTGTGGTTAAGGCTTGTACAGATGGGACTTTTACTCAGGGCAATCTTCCAGCACAGTTAAAGGCTTTTTGATTGGCAAGGGAGTCTGTATCTTCTTTAACAGGGGAATTATGTGCCATAAATTTCCAAGTGCCTTAATAGAGTCCTGGTAACACTTTCATTGTTATTTCTGGTCATATTTTTTAGTTCTGTCTCTGTCTCATGAGTGCTGGAGTTATAGGCCTATATCACCAGTTCCAAGTCTAGTAATATCTTAAAATAACAAACACATTTATGAGTTTAATAAGGATTAATTTGTCATTTTTTCATTAAAATGTTGTGGTTAGTTTTTGTATGGTGTATTTGTGTGTATACATATACATACAAAGAGTGTGGAGGTCAAGGAACATGGTCCAGTCCTTAACACATATCTTCCACATTATTTAAAATCTGTCCACATTATTTAAAAATATGTTACTGCATTCAAATGGTGTGTGTGTGTGTGTGCATGTTTAGTGGACAGTTTTCAGAAGTTCTCATTCCGAGAACCAAACTACTTCAAATGTACTGACAAATGCCTTTACTCATTGAGCCATCCTACCAATTGTGTAAGTGTGTGTAATCTGTAATCTATGTGTACACATATGTGTATATGTCACATTTGGGGGTGGTACCCTCTAAGCCTAGAAGAGCATATCAGAGCCCCTAGAGCTGGTGTTACAGGATGTTAGACACTGAATCAAGACTCTGAAAACTAAGCTTAGGGTGCTCTTGAGAAATGGCTCATTGGTTAAGAGCACTAGCTGCTCTTCCATAGGACCAGGGTTCAATTCTCATCACACACAGGGCAGCTCACATCTGTCTGTAACTCCAGACATACATGCAGGCAAAACACCAATGCATATATTATATATTATATATTATAAATAAAATCAGGTCACCTGCAAGACCAGAGTGTTAAGTGATATGTTCTAGTTTTGCTTGTTGCTCCAGTGATAAAACACTGACCAAAACCAATTCTGGGGGGGGGGGGAGGATTTATTTGGATCATATCTCCATGTCAATGAGAAATCAGCGAGGAAAGTCAGGGTAGGGATTCAAGACAGAAACCTGGAAACAAGAACTGAATCAGAGATTACAGAGGAATTACCATGGAAAAATGCTGCTTACTGGCTTAGTTTTTTTTTTTAATTTATAACTATTTAAAAAATTATTTTAAATTATGTGAATGAAAGCCAGGCATGTGGCAAACACCATTGATCCCAACTCTCAGGAGGCAGAGGCAGGCAGATCTCTGAGTTCCATGCCAGCCTGGTCTACAAAGCAAGTTCCAGGACAGCCAGGGCTACAGAGAAACCTGTCTCAAAAGAGAAATATGTGTGTGTGTGTACATGTATATGTGCATATGCATCAGTTGTGTCCATATTTGGGTGCCAGTGCCCACTGGATGTCAGGGGTGTTGGATGCCCCTTGAGCTGGAGTTTTGAGTCACCTGACATGGATGCTGGAACTGAACTCTGGACTTCTGCAAGAGCAGTATATGCTCTTAACCACCGAGTCATTCTCCATGTCCCCAAACTTCCCTGAGCCTGCTTTCTTGTACAAACCAAGCCCACCTGCCAAGGGGTGGTACCATTCATAGTGGGTTGAGCCTTGCCACCTTAATCATTAGTCAAGAACATCTCTCTCCCCCCCAGAGAGATGCCTACAGGGCATTCTGATAGAGGCAGTTACTCAATTGAGTTTCCCTCTTCCCAGATGACTCAACTTTGTGTCAAGTTGACCAAAACTAGCCATCTCTACAGTTCCTCCTCTTCTGAGACAGGGTCTCTCAGTTATTCTAAAGTTCATTGACTGCAGTAGACTGTTATCTCCAGGGATTTCTCTTTACCTCCCCAGCAAAAGAATTACACACAGTAAGTGCCATCAACACTCAGCTTTCTTTTTTAAGGTTTGTTTTTATTTTGTGAATGGGTGTTTAGTCTGCATATGTCTGTACCATGTGCACACAGTGCCCCAGAGGCTACACAAGGGCATTGGATCACCTGGAACTGGAGTTACAGATGTTTGCAAGCCATCGGGGGAGGGGTGGTTTGCACACAGGGCACTCAACCTTGGTCTCTGAAAGACTAGCCAATGCCCTTAACCACTGATCCATCTCTCCAGACCCAGAGATTAATTTATTTTAATGTATAATGAGTGTCTGCATGAGTTTATGTATACCACATTTGTGCAGGTACCCCAAGATCTTCTGCAACTGGAGTTACAATTAATCATGAAGTGGCTGGTATGAGTGCTGGAATCAAATTCAGAAGCCTGTAAAAACTAAGAACGAGTGCTTTTAACTGGTATGCCATCTCTTTCTACACACACACACACACACACACACACACACACACACACACGTTCAGATGCCAGCAGATAACAGCTTTTTCATGGGTTGATGGTTGTGGGGATCCAAATGAGGTCCTCATGTTTGCAGAGCTGGTACTTTACTGAATGCACCATTTCCCCAAGAAAAGAAGGATTACGGACATGGTTAAATGAAAAATTAGATCTCTTTAAGATCAATTTTTACTATTTACAATCATGTGTCTGGAGGGCAGAGGTGTTGGGTTCTCTGGTAAGTTACATGCAGCTGTGAACCTCCTGATACTGGGGCTGGGAACTGAACAGGTCCTCTATAAGAGTACTATGTGTGCTCAGATGCTGAGCTGTCTCTCCAGCCCCTAAGAATTAGATCTTAACACCATGGAGAGATTGTCTGTAGTACAAAGTGCTCGTTGCTATAAAGCAGCCCAGGGTCAAGAGTGTCCAAGTTATCACACTGGCATGAACTAGAACAGCAGTAAATAGAGATGGAGTTGAACTGCTACATTTACTACGAAAATGGGAAGACTGCCCAAAGGCTGTTAATTAATGACATGACCAAAATTGACAATAGATTACTAAAGTGCCCTGAAAAGCACAGAATGTACAGAACATTTTACTTAAGTTTGAAATCCATTTCTGTCTTGTTTGAGACTCATGCAGCCCGATCCTGTATCAACCTCCCAAATATTGTCATTACAGGTGTGGACTACCACACTGGACTTCATGTCTCCATTTTACAAATAAAAGTAGAAATGCAATCAACCTGTACCGTGTTGTAACTAATCATGTACTTATGACTCCAAAGTATTTTGCAAACAGATTTGTTTTGTGGTTTTTGAGACAGGATCTCACTATACAGCTCTGGGCATCCTGGAACTCAAGTTATGCCTGCCTGTGCCTCCCTAGTTCTGGGATTAAAGGCATGAGGCACTACGCCCGGCCTCAAACAGATTTTTAATTTTAATTTTTTATGTTGCTATGGTAAGATAGCCACATCCACAATCATACTGGAGTTGACGCTGAGTATTAATGATGGTCAATATTTAACACACTACACCGACTACAGACGCAAGAGTGCTTGGGATAGTCTTCCAACCCATCCCAAAGACTGTGACCAACATCACCCTCGTAAACTAAAAGCGCCAGAGATTTAAGTAAAAACACGAACTTAGGACCTGGGTTCCTACCGTCCTCTACTATGTAAAGAGGTCAGAGGACAAGGAGCAGGAGTCGATTCTCTATTGTCACCGTAGGGGTCCCGGGGATCGAACTGGCACTGTCCGTTTGGATTTCATTCTAAGTGACAGTAGTCCGTTTCCTGCCTAGTCCAACTGCGCACCCGACTCCCCTGCGCGTCCACCTAGTAACCCCAGTTCCCAGCACACAAATTAGCGCCCGGGCGCGACCCGGAAGGAGAGCCCGCCCTTCCGCCGCCCACTCGCCAATCACCGCGGGCTCCCCTTTGTGGCAGGCGGGGTGGGAGGCGGCGCGTGCGCAGTGGCGTCGGCGGCCCTTCCGGCGCGCGGGGCGCAGGCGGGGCGCAGGCGGGGTGGACGGACGCGGGCGCGCACGCTAGCGCGCACGCATGCACGCACGCACGCACGCCCTGCTCTCGCGCCGCGCCGCCCCGCCGCGGTTGTCCCCGCGTACACCAGCAGCGCCGTCACTTCGGCAGAGATGCTGCGGGCCTGTCAGTTATCCGGTGCGACCGTCGCGGCCCAGGTGAGCGTGGGTTCTCCCCGAGGGGCGCGTGGTCACGCCGACTGCAGGCCGCCAACCGGCAGCGGGAGAGGCATCCGCGGTGCGCGGCCCGGGGCACGGTGGCGGGGCAGGGAGCCGAGGCGGCCCCAGGGCGGCCCTCGACTGGCGTGACTAGAGCTTAGCGCCGGAGGAGCGCGCTGGGGTGCGCAGCGCTCGCAGGGAGGCGTGGCTTCGGGCCCGCATCCAATCAGCACCAATCCTGGCCGCCGGCGTCCCGGCCCGCCGGTTGGGCACGTGATAAGTTTCCAATCG